GTGTCCTCTTGTTCAACCTCTATCTTTTGTCCATTTAAGCACAAAATCCAGTGAGAGAGCCCAGTCTCCCTAATATTCTGCCAAGCACAGGCTAATACATCCCCCCTCCCCAGCACATCCCCAACATCGAATTCTCAGAGCCAACAGTTTGCATGATGGAGACTCCAACATCTTTAAAAAACAAAATCTAGCTCATCCTTCTACACTTATATGAGAAATGATGAAGATAAATGAATCATCTTCAGGAGTTTAGATATTATGTACTGCTGCCAGTGCAGTGTCTGGATTTATGATGAAGATCCGGAGCCACAGAGCAGGCCAGTTCTGAAACCGTTAACAGTCAGTGAGGACCAAATGCGAAGCAGCTGTTATTACACAATACTTCCTAAATGACCCATAACAATCGCCTCAGGGGGACTGGCACAACCTGGGCAGATTGTAAACCACTGACCTTACAGGTACAATCCCATCTGAAGACTTCCTAAACCAATCTGCAGTGAAGGTGTTGCAGATTTATGTGCATAGTTTTCCAGAGTGTTGAGTGAAGAGGATGCTGCAAGCTGTCAAACTCAACTTCTAAGCTTGGCTTTAAATTCTATAAAAAAAAAAAAGCACCATTTAGTTCCATTTTAAGTTTCTTACAATAACTGAGTTTTTTTAGCATTAAGAAGAGATAGGTCAAAATGTTTTTTATGGTAATCAACATTGTGCCACAAATGCTGACAAATGAGTTGCGTTGAACCAGTTAAATTTGTATTGAATCCGAAATATTGAGTCACTTCTGTGACTCGTTACATTTGACTGTGAAGTCTGAAATAGCCAAAATATTTAATCCTTGTTTGCAATAATCAAAACAAGCTGATATTAATCTATATTAAGCTTGGCAAAACTTTGACAGCGCAGCAAGATTTTGTACAACAGAATAAACTTCTGAAAATGGAAAATTTGCAGAGCCTGAAGCAGAGTTTGGGAGACCCAGCAGCAGAGTTGATTTATTGCAGGGCGTCTCTGCTCTTTATGTGTCCATAGCACAAGGGCTTCCTCTGCGGTCTTTAAATGGAAGCCAACACCTAGCAGAACAACTGAACACCTGTGTGGGGCTGCACACATCACCTTGAAGGTGTGTGCCTTGTACACAAAGGGATAAAGAGAAATTCACTTCAGGCTCACAATTCCCCTAAAAAGCTTCCATGAAACATTAGATTGAACCATGCACTTTCCTCATCTTCTTGGACGCTGATGAACATGAACTTCTGACATGCTCCTTTAATGGAAGAGTCATGAATGTTCTGCCAGTAAATGATAAAGTGAGCTCAATTTTCCACATCAGTCAGGAGGCGGGTCTGGACAAGTTTCACAGCACCCAACAGAATCCCCAGATGTAGAATAAGTGGCCCCTGTGTGCACACTCAATATCACGCGAGTAAGAGTGTTGATATTCAGATCAATGAGTGTAATGTTGCTTTTATAGGAAAGTTTGTTCAATAAACAAACTTACATTTTAGAAACAATATTGCTTGTCCAAATGAAGCCAAAGCAGAATCGACCTGTGTGTCCCTGAGCGTCACTCGCTAGCGAGGTTTCATTCCTAAATGAATCAAAACAAATCGTATGATTCAGTGACTTGCTCATGAAGCCACTTGTCGCCACCTAATTGTGTAACAATGTAACCTGCAGAAAATCCCCACCACGAAAAATCAACAGACCCGACTGACAGACTCTCTACAATCTGCAAACACCGAAAAGCGGAGTGATACAAACACAAACAGTGAAAAGTCAGAACACTTTATAGAACATTGGAGAGGGAATGTGGTTTAGGAATATGTTACCAGGATGGTTAAACACATAGGAGAGTTCTCAAGCCAAGATATAGTCAGGCACACACCAACTCTACAAAATCTCTCAGCTTGGAGAGAAGGAAAAGGAGTGACTGCTTTTACTGCATGCTGCCCAGAGACACACACACCAAACAAAAGAAGTCAATCAATCATTCAATGCACCTGGACCTAGCTCCTCCCATCACCGGCTATGTTTAACAGCTTGGAACACCGCACAGCCAATCAAATTCGAGGCTCAGAACTAACCGTTTGATTAGTTATGAAACTTGTGTGTTAGTGCAGTTTTGTCTCTTGTGATTTTTAGTTAGCATGCACACTTGTGAGTATGACTGGTTATAACCCCAGATCATAAAGGTATATTGGGATAATTTACTTTTCAGTGAGAAAATTCATTATATAATATAAGCATTTTACATTTAATGTTTATAAACAGCAATCTGCAATGGGCTATTATGAAACTAATTTTACTCACTAATTAATAAGGTGGGAAAGTTGCAGAGATTCAGATACGTACAAAGGGAAATTTCAAGATGAATTAAAAAACATTAACCACAAGTATTACAGTGCAGGAAGGGTACAAAGACTGAACATTACAAAGCTGTTTTGTACAAATCATCAGGATATAAATCAAACTCAATAGGAATCAGTTATGGCTTTGATGAGCACATAGAAACTGCATGCGAAACACGAGGAACACAAAAACAAAAAAAAAACAAGGAGACTAGCAGAAAGCACTGATGTTGTTATGACAAAGTGGTGGGAGAGGCTGAATTAATATCATATGTTTGCTGCATATAGTATATTTTGTTCAAAATTGCCTGTTGGCCATATGAAGCACAGATGAGTCTAGTTTCAAAACATAAAGACACCCAGTGAACTGAATACAAAAATGTAATCTTAATTCTATTTAGTTCAATGAAAGGCAGCAAATTGATGAATCTATATTTCTCTCTTTGTTTCTCTTTGCCCTTTTATAAAACATATAGTGGAATATAAGGTAAAGCAACT